CATTTGTCATTTCTATTTGATAACCTGCCAATCTGACAGGTGATGTGTTTCTAAATAGACTAGCAAAAATTTTAATTTTAATTTCCCGTATTTTTTCAAAATTAATTATATTAAAAATTACACAAACAAAAAGTATATAAACATATATACAAACAAACCAAAGGTATATAAAAATATATTATATCTTTATAATAAAATATTGTTAGCTAGCCTAAATATGTTAGAGGAGAATGATTCTAATGAAATAGTTATGGTTGATGTTGACAAAATTTCTTCACAAAAAAGAGCGATTATATGGGATCAATATCAACTCAATGGTGAAAAGGCTGCTTGCAATCATTGCAAGAGCATTATTAAATGCAAAGGCAAAACAACAACGCCTCTTATTAATCATTATAATAGGTTTCATTCACATCTCTGTAAAAACAGTAATAAAATTGACACTTTTTTAAAGCCTATATCACCTTTTTCTTTATCTAAAAAAATTAATTATAAAGATAACTTACTAAAATTATTTATTAATAATAATTTATCTTTTAAAATTGTTAATTCACCTGATTTTAAAAATTTTATAAATGATCTTGATTCTTCTATAAAATCAATATGCTCCAATACTCTTAAATTGCATATGTATAATACATTTGCAGAAAAAGAACAGTTGGTAAAGGATATAATATCCAAAAATAAAAGTCAGATTAATTTTTCATCTGATATTTGGACTAGCCCAACTCAGGTTCCCTTTTTAGGGTTAACAGCCCATTTTATTGATGATAATTTTAAAATAAATAACATAATTTTGGATGTTGCTCCAATAAATGAACAACATTCAGGTGAAAACATATTTAAAGCCTTTATTAAAATAATTAAAAATTATAATTTGGAGAATAAAATTTTTTATATAACTCTAGATAATGCTACTAATAATAAAACATTTATTGATACATTTTCTTTAAAATATCCATCAATAAAAATAGGGCACATTCGATGCTTTGCTCATGTTATTAATTTAATATCCAAAGAAATTTTAAAAATTTTAAATCCATCAATTTTACTACGAAACATTATTAGGATGATGCGTAATTCTCCTAAGAAATTAAATTTATTAAAAAATATATGTATTTCACTACATCCTCCTATAAATTTTTTAAAACCCAAATTGGATTGTGAAATAAGGTTGAATAGCACCTGCCAAATGATTGAAAGGAGCTTATTGTTAAAGCCTGCTATAAAAAAATTAGTTAATGAAGTTATAACTAATATTATAATTCTTCAAGAAAAACAATTATCAGAGGTAAACTAAAATTTATAAATAGGTAAATAATACTTTATTAACATAACATATAGGAGGAATGGGACGATCTTGTAAAAATTAAATCTATCTTATTGCCTTTGTATGAGACTACAAATATGGTTTGTGGGCCTACTTATAATTTGGTTATACCCTATTATGTTCTTATTCTTGAACACTTAAAAAATGAGAAACCTTGTTTCCATAAAACCTCTAACAATGATTTCAAAGTGGCATGTGATAAATTGTTGGGCTATTACAATTTAACTGCAGATGATGCAATAATAGCTACAATATTGGATCCCAGGCTCAAAATATTTTAAATTATTATCTCTTGATTATGATATTGATATATCCAGGTTAACAAACAAATTTAAAGAGATTTACAGCAGATATACAGGTATTTAATTTACCCCCATTTAAATACATATCATTTTATTTTATAAGCTGCTGATAATTACAACTGCCAAAATAAGAATGAAAGTCAACAAAACAGGCTTGACATTGTTTTTAAACAAAATTATGTTCAACTATGTGAAATCGATTTTTACCTGAGCCAAGATCAAAGAGTGATACTGATCCATTAATGTGGTGGAAGACAAATGCACATAGGATCCCCATACTCTCAAAAATGGCAAGAGATTATTTATCTATACAAGGAACATCAACTGCGTGTGAAAGACTTTTCTCAGTTGGCACTAATTTGTTGTCAAAAAACCGCATGTCGTATAAAGAAGAAAATATAAGATAAACCCTTTGCCTTAAAAATTGGCTTAAAATTATAAATTAAATGAATAATATAATATTTTAATTTTGTTTATAACTTGATTATATTTATTTGTCATCGGATTATTATAATTTTTTCTGTTTGAAATCAAATTTGCAATAAAAAAATTTGTCAATGTATTTGAGTATGATTTATTTTATTAAGAAAATTCATTTCAATTATTCGAATAATTCGAATCGAATACAAATAGTAGATTTTATTATTCGTACGAATTCAAATAGTAAATTATTCGATTCGTTGAATAATGCACTATTCGATTCGCATACGTTTTTGAATAGGCCTAATATAAAGAGTTAAAAGATTGTGGACCATAAGGTATAGTAAAAAAAAAATAATACATACTTTTTATGGATATTATACAAATATTTTGATCATTAACGACGCATAGTAAAATATCTGATACACCCCAAGGAAAAGGATGTAAAAAAAAATGTGATTTATTTTATTTTCAACCAGTTTAACTCATTTTTTTTATAAAGGTTTTTTTTTTTACTCCTTCAAAAAATTATTATATCGGTGTTACAGTTACGGATCAGATATTTATGAAGGTTTATAACGGTTTAGCCTATCATTCGGGTTCACTCTGGATCCCTGGTTATCATAAATTATTAGGTGGTATAATATTTGGGTATATTATAAAATGGAGTTGTTTTGTATAGTAGACAACTCATTTACTTATAGCATTTGTAGGTATCTCTCTAGGCTTACATAATATTATTTTGGCTAAAATTTAAATCAAGCCGTTTTTAAAAATCGACCAAAATAGGGCCATTTAACAAATACTAATTTGATATGATGTCTAAAGACTATTCTGTTCTAATAATGTCTTGGAAATTTGGGGAAAAAAAAATTTGATAATATTACAGAACATAATGTAATGTAATTTCAAATTTTTGATATATTATTTACTTCGATTATAGATACAATGGTTAATGGAGAAAATGAAATTGAGGAAATAATATTAAGGCGATTACAAGATGAAGGCAATATTTTGATTCATGGTATACACCATATTATGATTGAATTAGAAGAAAATAATAGTGTTGACAATATGATTCTCATGATTATAAGTATCGTAATACAACTATGCCTAAACTACATCTCTAGCATACTCACCTCACCACCACCTCTCTGTGAATGTACAACTCATGTACCTAAAGAAAATATATCTACGTTCTAATATATTTACTAATAATACATAATCATCTTAAATACCTTAAATTTACACAAGTAGAAATTATGGAAGCACAAGTAATGGAAATACGAGGAATGAATAACTAGTAGAAGAAACTTGAATACATGCAACTAACTTCAACCTAATATAAATGGAAATGACACACCTAACTGATACAAATGGAACTGATAGAACTTTACCCCATTTTCCACCATGCTTACCATTAATACATCTGAATCTTATTCTACCCAATCCAAACTCATGCTTACTACTAATACAACTGATTCATCTGAACTATTTGACATCCATGCTTATTACTAATGCAATTGATACACTCGAATACTATTCTACCCAGGCTTCCACATCCATCCCTACCTCTAATAAAACTGCTACAACTGACATTCCTGATTCTTATTCTAACCAGTATTCTACGACCATGTTTACCACTAATACAAAATGATATACCTGATTCTTGTTCTATCCACACTATTCCCAAGAATTGTGAAAATAATACTAATACACTTTGCAAAATAAATGGTAAAACATTTACTGCTTACCCTCCGGATTGTAAGTTGGAATAAACTTATATTAAAAATATAAAGTGGGAAATAATTCCCGGAAAACTCCCTTAGTAACTTATTTTAAGTATCAAATAATAACCCCACCGCCAAAAAACGAAAACATTTTTTTTTAAAATGATTAATCCCCGATTTAAGTATCGATTTTTATGATTATACTGAAGAAGAAATATAGAAAAAAATTTAATATTTTGGGACTTTATTTTGAAGAAAATAAGTATACATCACTGTGGTATATTACGATTTCAGTGAAAATAAGTAGATGGGGGAGGGTGGCGTTTGCAGAGTTTTTGTCAGGGGGTCTCCTATTATTCCTAAAAATATTAAAAAATGTTTAAATGGATTGGTCAAAAATTTGAAACCTTATTTATAAATATTTTCATTTTTCTTTAATCTTCCATAAAATTTTTGATTAATTGTTGCAAGATAGTTATTTTATAATGTTACATTTAAATTGTTTATTTAATATTATTTTTTATTTTGTTAATTGGATGATTAAATTTTTATTTAAACGAGAGAGGTTTAATTTCAATTTACATACAATAATTTACTTTGATATTAACAAAAGGAAACAAAATTATATATACTTCAATAATAAATATTAATAATATTTACATTTTGGACTTTTATATTTAAAAGAAATATTATTTTACTTTAAAATTTTACTACCAATAAAATCATTATCTAATTACCTACCAACATAGTCTATTCTGGTCTAATCGAACACAATTCTACTCCAATCGAACCAAATAAGAAATAATTCAGAACATTTGATATTTTTCTTTTTTGAGAGTTGAGAACTGATTTCTCAACGTTTGGGGATTTTTTTTATGATAGTATTAGTATTTCAGTTTTAATTCTGAAGGATTAAATACGTCAATTTTAATATACGAGACTAGCTTTTGTTTTTATCTGAACCCAAATACTTCAAATTCCTGTTAATTCATGGCTGAATGCCATAAATATTTTAATATATTTCAAACTATAGTTATTAAAATGGAAAAATTTTCCCGAAATATAAAAAAAAAATTATACATATTACAATGCATACAAAGATAAAAATTTGAAATATCTGCTAATACAACATTTTATTTTAATTTATTCAAGTCATTATAATGAATTTTAGTTTTATAGAGAGAAGATAGAATGGAAAAAAAAACGAAGATGCTTGAAATTTGATAAACCTAATAGACTTATGAAATGGATGTAATAAAAATTATGGAAAATAGATTTTTTTAAAAAAGAATAGGATAGTTTATATTCCTTTGAAGCGGTGACACCTACTATTGCATATTGATGTGATTCTGGGCGTAGTGGTTGGTCCAATGACAACTATATTTACAAATTTTTTAAAAAATATATAATTTTTGTACATATATTATTAGCGTGTACTTTAAATCTCATGTCTTCATTTTTAAAGTATGAGCACTAATAATGTATTTTAAAAAAAATAGTCTGCTTAGCTGTCTGTATAGCTTCCTCTAACAATCTAAAATTGTAAGAGGTTATTAAAAATTACTTACAAAGGGTATAAGCAACCTTATGGAAAAAAATATTAAATAATTCTTTTGTTCTTTCATTTCCTTTCTTTCTTTCTTTATTTCTTTTTATTTTTCTTTCTTTCTTTTATTTAATGTATATTTATAAAACAAACAAAAATAAGGTGTTGGTTCATAATCTGTTTCTATGCTAAATAGAAATAAGTTTCAAATATAAGACTTTTCACGTTTTAATCATGATAATGGTATATTATTTTATAATTTTTTTTAAATTCTAAATTATAAGAATTTATTATGCTAAATAATGTCTAAATGTTCAATTCTCTCTCTTAGATTTCAAAAATTATGGTTGACCAAATTTAATTTTTGGTGAATTTTCTATATCAATAATAGCTTTGTATTAGGTAAATGAAACATTTGTACCATTGTTTGGGGTTTCTAAGTATGTTGTGCTTATTGTCTCTATTTCTTCACCTTTGGCTAAATGAATAGTGTTTAGATATCAAATATATTGCTAATTTTAAAAAAAAATAATTACTGTAATTTGTGACAGAAAACTGAAGGATAATTACACATGCGATCAATACCTATATTTATGTTTAATATAAGCTTGTTAATTATGCTTTTATTTGATTAGAGAAAATATCTCCAACTCATTTAATAATATAAATTATAAATTTTAATTAAACCTTATATATTATTGATTATATAAAAATTAGAATATAATTTATAATTACTTACATGTAAGTACAACATTTAAAGCATATTATAATGTGAGATAAAAAACTTCAAAATATTAACTTGTTTTTGTGTTGTATGTTGTTATATATATATTTTGTAAAATTTAATAAGCAAAATATTAATTTTTTGATAAATAATTTTAAAATAAAATAAACTACTTAAATGATTAACAATAACTATAAGTATAGAGACCTTGATTTGGTTTTAATTTATTCTTAAAAGGACATCAATTTTTTTTAAATTTTAAAAAGGCTATCAAATATCCAAAAATTTTGTGGAAATTATATATTTAATAACAAATTACTTAAAAATTGTAAATTTCTTTTTTTGTATGACTGGCTAATCTTCATTTTAATATTTTATTTTTTATTAATATATATTAGCTTAAGCTTCGAATTTTATACTAAACAGATCTAAAATATTACCTTCTGAAAATTACAGGAAATTTAATCTCAATTTATCAAAAGGATCTTTAAAGACCCTGCTTGCATTTTATTCTTTTGACATCTATATACTATTAAAATGATATTTTAGAAATTTAAACTAAACATATAAAATATAATAATTTTAAAAAAATTTAATCAAATATTATATTCTACTTTATTTCATTTTGAAAAAAAACCAAAATTTTAATGGAAGATATGTTTTTTAACAATATGTTCCATTTAAACCAGGTAAAATAATGAAATCCAAACGAGGCGAATTAGGATTATGTATGATTTAGCGATCAACATCGGCTTAATTTTTCAAGCCCGGCCCGAAAACAATTTTTTTTAAAAAATGTTTTTTAAATATAGAAATTATTTTTTTATAATTATATAAAATAAAAGATATATCTTATATGGCATCTAGTTTCTAAAAATAAAATCGAATATTTTTATTTTACATTAAAAATTCAACATTATAATTGATAAATTTAGATATATTTAAAAATAATTTCGAGGCCCGACCCAGCCCAATCCCGTTTTTTTAAAATAGGCCCGACCCGATACCCGTTCGGGCTAAACCGGGTACGGGTCGGGCCTACTTTTACAGATCTCTAATCAAATATATAATTACCTTATAAAGGTAAAGATTACAATGAAGATTAAAGTTTTAAAATTGGAGGAAAAATTACAATTACAATGAATATAGTAGGGAAGATCGGGTAACATGCTAGCACTAAATGGCAAACGTCAATAAAATTAAAAACTTGACAATATTGAATAAATAATATCTCATTTTATTTCACTTGTTTACTTTTATTATGCTATACGTAAAAATTATACTTATTTTTTACAATATTAATTTTTCCGAAAAAAATATTTGGGTAGTTAAACCCTAATTTTTTTAAAAAAAAGTAGCGCTACCGATATTGCTACCCATCAAAAAAAAAGTAGCGAGCTATTTAGCTACTATTTTTTAAAAGTAGCTTTAGTTACTGCTTAAGCTACTTTTTATAAAAACTTTATTTTTTGCATATAAGGGATTATAATACAAAAAATCATCATTTATTAAATATTTAAATATAGTTATTTTTTGATTATAAAAAAATTTATGAAAAATAAAATAATTTATATACTATTGTTGTGAATTCAAATTGTGAATTCAAATTTAACTTTTTATTTTTGTAATTCAACTTGTATTACTTTTTATAATTCAAATCTAACCTTTTATTTTTAATTCATATGAATTCAAATTTATCTTTTCAATTTAACTTTTTATTTTTGTAATTCAACTTATATTTTTAATAACCTTACTTTTTGTTTTTATATATATTCTAATTTATATTTTTAGAAAATATATATATACCTAAAAAGAAAAAGAAAGGGATATAATAAAGTTAATAATAATAAAATAAATTTTTACATACTTGCACGTTTATCATGATTCTCTTCAACTATCATCCCTCCTAAGTATAAAGCGATGATTAGAAAGTACAAGTTTCGCCTTACTAAATAATCTCTCAACATTATCACTTCAAGGCATTATTTAATTTTATATACATTTTTAATATATAAGATAAATTATCAAAAATACTCATATGTATTTTTAGATTAAAAAAAACGGGTCTAGGGGATTTTTATTATTATATTAGTATCATTTATTTCAAAAAAAAATAATACCAATGGAAGTCGTTTTATTGTTCTAACTACTGATTATTTTCTATTTCCTTTTGATAACATGATTTTTTTTAGTGATTTATAAAAAAACTTTTTGACTGATCAATTATCAAATAAATATAAAAATTTAAAGCTAGGATTAGACAAAAATTATGTTCTTCCCTATGTGAATGCAAAAAAAGAAGATTCTAAACAGATCCACATAAAAATTTGATAGCCCTAATATTACATATATATAAATTTAATATATGTTTTTCAATAAAAAAAATTTGATCAAATTGGATGTTTATTTATAATATGTTAATATTTGAAAGGTCAGATTAAATCGTTGGTAAAAAAAAATAAAGAATTTTATTTATGATACAATATTTATTTTAATTTATAAAATATTGAGAAATTTAATTTTTTATAAAAATAAAAATAAATACCAGAGTAAATCTATTAATATATTAAAAGTGAAAACAAGCAATAATTATCATTCAATGTTCTGTTAATGCTAATTTTTTCCATAAACATATATTTGAGTGATATAAATACTAAATAGCCAAATTTTTACATAAAGATAAGGCCAAGAGCAAGAGAGTTTAAATAATATATAAGTTATTGTTGGATAACTGAAATATTTATTTGAATATTAACTTATCCTTTATTTTTATATTAATTTTTTCTTTATTTTCATATTAATTTTTTCTTTATTTTCATATTAATTTTTCTTTATTTTCATATTAATTTTTTCTTTATTTTCATATAGAAATATATATTTGATAATTATCATTCAATGTTCTGTTAATGTTAATTTTTAAAAAACATATATTTGAGTCATATAAATAAGCCAAATTTTTACATAAAGATTAGGCAACAAGAGCAAAATAGTTTAAATAGTACATAAATTATTGCTGGATAACAGAAATATTTATTTGAATATTAACTTTTAATTCTTTATTTTTATATTAATTTTTTCTTTATTTTCATATAGAAAATATATATTTGAAATGTTCTTCTTAACTTTATTTTTACATCTTTTGTATTTTTATATTTATAATGAAGAAATCAAATCTGATAACAGATTTATATAATATTTTATTTTTAGTTTTATTATGTGTACATTTCTTATAAATAAATACGTTTTGTTTAAATAAAATAAATAACTCTTTTAATACTAGCCATATTCATTAATTTTTATCTATATATACGTTTAAAAATATCCACTTAATAATAAACATCGAGAAGTTTTTAATTTTAACAAAATAGAAACATTTAGATTAAAGGCTCTGTAAAGATTATTAAAACGTGTTAACTTAGTATTATTATCATCATTCAAAAATTACATATTATTAATGCGTAGTATACATGCAACTTGCAAGTATGATGTATATATTTTCAAAAGAAAAAATAAAAGTTTAACCACGATCACCAACTACCATAGAATATTTTAGCATCTGAGAGCTCCTCAGGAAGCAAACTTAAAATTACAACTCATTTATTTCTATCCCTTTTATTTTGGGAATTTATTACATATTACTATAATATCGAAATAAGATTAGCGAACGTCATCTTAAATTGTAAAATAAATAAAATTACCAGATAGGATTATCTTTCCAAGTGGTACATTAAAGCTGTAAAAATATAATACATGGTATTTTTTGTAATTAAGGGATTTCCTGTATGTGGAGGGGATCATATCTAAATACCACATAAATTTTTTTAGATATTGATATGGAAAGCATTGTATACTGTTATGTGATGGTTGTAAACACGTAACAAAGATAAACTTATAAGATGCAATGGAACAAAATTAAAATAAAATTAAGCCTATATAACTTATATAAATTCCTTTTTATTATCCTCTAAATTTCAAATTATCCATTAAAAATCAGCCTATAAACACGTTCAAATAATAGTTTTATAAATTTTACACATGCGTAGCTTGCCCGCCCCTCCAAAGTGTACACTTAATACAAAAACTTTCCCCATTTTCTTTAAAATTATTCTGAAGAATACTTGCAGCTCCAACATTAGATGAGGATATAGACTTTTATCGCGTAGCACGTAAAAATTTTTATCTTCCACTTTTATGTAGATTCGCACCAACTCGTGACTAAAGTAAAGTTAACCGACTCTAGTTTTAATTCCAAGTGATTATAATTAATAAAAAGATACTACACACATTTTTTTTAAAAGGAAACAAAAAAAAAGCAAAATATAATAACAAACATGTAAGGTGTCCTTGCCTTCTCACCAGGGACCCGAACCGATATTTATAACGGTTCAGTATGTAAAAAATTTTAAAAGGTTCGGTTCGGTTCAGCTAATTATAAAGGTTCATTACGGTTAGAAATTTTTGTTTTTATTGAAGCAACACCTTCTAATTTATTTTTATTATAAGCATCTATGAATTATATATTAAAAAAATATATAAGATTCAGATTTTTAAATATATTATTTGAACGTATAAGTATTATATTTTCTAATATAAATGGATTCTTTTTTGTTTTGACGATAACGCAAATTATAGCCCGAAAAGGCCCTTTTTAAAGAAACTTGTATTGCGAGAACCGCCAAGAGCAAGTTTATATAATTCTGGATATTCAAATTATTTCCATTTCTAAAATATAAAAACTGTTTTTTATAAAGGTTCTTTTTACTCCTTCAAAAAATAATTATATCGGTTCGGTTACGGTTGTGGTTCAGATATTTATAACGGTTTATAATGGTTTAACAGTTCACTCCGGGTCCCTCTCATAGATTGAGAGTAATATCAAAAGTATATTAAAATGATAATGTGCAAGGTTTGGGCAATAACGCGAATACATGTATTTGCAATAAAGCAAATACTTTTTGGAATTTATATTTTAGTATTTATTTTGAATATTTTTGAAAATATTTTAAGTATTTATTATTTCGAACACTAAAATTTATTAAAAAAAAAGGATATTTTGTATTTATAACAATTTCAGACTAATATACAAATATTTTATTTTT